AGGAATAAGCACAATTGCCCGCTCCACAGCGTGAGCACCTGGGTTCCACACGAGCACCGTAAGCGATGCACCGTCGCCCTCAAGCGCGTCCGCAGTAACGGGACAGACCGACACATTCGACAGGAGGCAATGCTGTGCGTTGAAAAGCTCGAAGGAAATGAAAACAAACAAACAAACAATGAAACAAAAAAACAATACACTACACATACACAGCTGCACACACTTCAGTAACGTCGTTTGAAGTGCTGAAGGTAGGAGAAACGGAAAAGGACAGAGGCGCGAAAAAGCCGGGAATAAGAAGAAAGGTTCTGTTGTGTTTGCTTTGGTTGTTGATTTTTTATATCCCCTGCTTCGCTATTCGCTTCCACTGTTCCAACCATCCATTTCATGCGGCAGGGGCACAAAACGCACAAGAGACGGCGAACACCAACCAATTGTCCTTGCTTTACCTACAGAAGCTCACACATCCTTCGTGACACCGGACTTGCGGCATCCCGAAACACTGCAGTCATTTTTGTTTGTGTCGGTTTTTCTTCCCCCCCCCCCCGCATTCGCCTCATTGGGTTCGTGCACTTGCGGCCGTGTTTGTGACGCATAATTCATGGGTGCTCCGCCGTACCGTTCTGAACCGTCTCGCTCTGCGCGGCACCTGCTGCTTCCAACATCTGGTTAAAGAGCCACTCTTCCTCATCCGGAGCCATGCCGTCATCGTCGTTGACAAATACGCGTTCGTCGTCCTCGTCCGACCCATGCTTCTCTTGGGAAGGATCCCACAGGTACTCTTCCAACTGCTGTAACTGTTCCTCCGTCATACCTCCAAATGTGCGGAGGGCCGTGGAAGCGACGGCTGCCGTGGTTGCCAGGCTTTCAACCGAGGGCAGCTGCACGTAAGTGTCAGAGTTGCGGTAAAGTTGCTCCAACCCAGTTCCAAGCATCTCGCCTCCCCTCAACTCGACGGCGTTGTCCGCCTCTACATTTGCCTCCTGTGCTTCTGCTGTGGCTGCTGGTGCTTGCAGGAATGAGGGAATAAAGGGTTTGGCGTCACTCGACAGCGTGGAACGCTGTGCCAGGCGAGACACCAACCTTGCCGTGGCTTCGTCGTCGCCTGTCTCTGCGTTCATGAAGAGATGAGCGGTGTTGGTGAATGGCAGCACACCCTCTACACCTTTCCCCGCGCACCTTCTCTTGCCGCCCCCTCTCTCAGCTGCTATGGAGGAAGAAGAACCCCAAACAACGACAACAACAACAACAGCAGCAAATGTGTGGGGTGGTGAGTCGCGCTTCAAGAAGGCACGGAGTGGAAATACGCAGGGAAACATATTGTGGTATCCCCCCACCACAAATTTCGCAGAGCACTTCGATAGGGACACGTCCGCCCTCGCTCTTTACGCATCCCGCTACCCTCACGTCCACATCCTTTGGAAGCAGCATCCGCTGCGAGGAAGCGCCGCAGGTATCGAATCAAAGCAACAACATGAGAAAAGCGAGGGGGGGGGAGTGGGAAGGGTATTGTTGGGGTGTAAAAGGTGTGGGCTGGGTTATGCGTCAACAGAACAAGCGGTCAATGAAAAAGAAAAGAGGACAACTAATATTCCTGTCGCTGAAAGTTGAGCATTGATTGCGTCGTCTTGTTTACTGGGACGGCCCCTTTGACTAGATATACTCATGCAGACGTAGACACAAAAAAAAAAAAACATCACCCCCCAAATACCTCGGAGAATCATTGCTAATGGAATAACTCCCCACTCCCCACACCCCCCCAAAAAAAAAAAAACAATAATGGCCATACGTTTTTATGCCAAATGTTCCACCTCATAGAACCTGCGAAGTGTATCAAACACCACAAATAAAACAAACACAATAAACTTCCTGCCTGATGCAAAGGCCGCGGCATACGACTCTCGCATGACAACAAACTGCGACTTGCTAAATGCCGTTGCGAATGTGGCAACGATCATGCATAACACAAATATTCCAACCGCCTTTACAAGAGACATTCCAAGGGAGAGAACGCACCTTTGCAGTTTTGGACTTATGCCACACCCAAGGAAGGCGATTTGGCGTGGCGTCAGCCTACGGATATGCTCCACGGAGCTGGACGTCACATCTGACTGCACGCAACGCAACAACCTCAGAGAGTGAGCAACCGAAACCAACTCCAGAGCAATAACCACACCCACGTAAATCGCAGCACTGCCTCCATGAGACCACAGAGGCAGCGTCAAAGCCTGTGAACTAATTAGCATAAGGCGGAACAAAATAGTAGTTCCTGCGGAGGCATTTTCTGTTACATCATGAGAACCATTAGTCGTATCCCGGGATCCGTCAATCGCATTGACAACAAAATTCATGCGGTGATACTCACCGCTAGACTCATTTGAATGCCGCGTCGCGCTAAGAGCGTCCTCGATCCAACGTACTCCGCTCGAGTTAAACAACCGATACGAGTCTGTGCCACCACCAGATCCACTTTTTGAGCCTCCCTTAAGAGCAATGAAGGAGAGATATTCTGTCTCGTACACAACGCGCGTTGGATACAAGGCCGTTACAATAGCACTTATGGCGTCTCCGTGGGTTACAAGTAATAAATTATTATGTGGATAACTGTGGGAGTTACGGAGCATATTCTCTACGTAGCGCTCTGACGCCAGTTCAATAGACTCCCCCCACTGCGGTAATTTACCAGAACCCTTCTTCACGACCGCATCCGGCAACACTTGGGCAGTGATGCCCTTTATCCGCAAGGGTCCGTACACCTCACAAAGAGTGTTGTCGACAAGTGGAGGCTCTAAAGCACCAATTCCACACTGGCGCAACACTTCGGCGGTTTGACGCGTCCGTAAAAAGGGCGAAACAATAATAAGCATTTCTCTTGCTTTTTTTTCTCCCAGCATGACACGAAGTTTTTCGGCAGTTTTCGCAATCTGCGCCGCACCGCTCTCAGTCAGCGGGGGATCAGCCTCTGGTTCAGCGCCAACCGCCCCGTCGCGGCGCTCTCCATGGCGCATAACAACGACAATTTGCTCGAACAACTCCAGTTGATTTTGTTGTCCGCGACACCCCACACGACCCGAAGCTGCAAAAATATTTTTATTGTCATCCATTCCTTTACACTCTTGTCGTTTGAAGATGCTTCGTTCAATACAAGGCCGGCTCTCTCCTTTGCTTCGTGTGGATTGAGTTTCCCTCTCCCCGATTCAATACTTCCTTTTTCCCCACCCGCCCACCCTTTCCCTCCTTCACTGTCGTCTCTGCCCTTTTACCGCTTCTTACCAAACTTGGGAACAGCAACTTCTCCAGCGGCGTTTTCACTTGTCAAGGAACGAGACGGAGGAAAAGAGGGAAACAAAAGTCACACGGCCTACTTCAGCGGTGCCGCCGCCCGCGTGTTCAGTAGACGCCCCGAAACCCCAACGACAACAGCGGCAGGAATGAAACCAGAGACCACAGTGTGGCGTGGGTCAGCAGCCCCCTTGCCTTATCAATCTCAATGTAAACATGTGTGGTGGAAACCACGCATACGGGGCGACGTACCAAGTGACATCACTGATCTGTATTTCTTTCCCTTCTGCAATTCCATATTTTCTTCCTCTTTTTTTTATAACATTTGACATTCCTTGATAAAAGAAAATAAAAAAATCTTTTTTTTTAAGCAACACCAACAACAAAAAGATGCTGCAATTACTCTCTGAGTCAAGTCATTACGTCTCTCTTGTTCCCACCTTGCCTGCGGGACCTTTGCCCTGCCCCAATAGGAAGCTTGCGTGGGTGGAAAGCGAAGGTGACAGGCGGTGTTGGTCATCAACGGATGCGCTTCGCTTTTTTACTTTTTGTTTCTGCTCTTTTCCCTCGTTTATTATTATCATTATATTCTTCTTTTTTCTCGCTCCTTCTCCCTCCGTTTTCTGCTTTCCGCTTTGGCAACCTGCCCGCACCTTCAGTTTGTTTCTCGCCGGCGGTTCAAATATGTGGTGATGCCGATGGCGGTGGTGGTGGCGGCGGCGGCGGCGGTGGTGGTGGTGGCGGCGGTGATGGCATGATTTGTATATTCTGTCCAGTGGCGATAGCATACGGCGGCGGCGCGGCGTACGGCGGTGGGGCCGCCCCGCCTCTTGAACTTCGGTGCACAGCAGCCATTGAACCAACCACACTAACAGGTGCCACAGCGACGGTGGGGTAACAAGGTGGCGGCGGCCCGTAACCCTCGTGCACGAAGGCCATTTGCATTGGCGACGGGTAGTAGTCAGTTGAGGTGGCGGCTGACTGATATGTTGAGGACGGAATAAACTCTCTGGCATTTGCATTCATCGTGGATGCTAACAGAGGTGGACTACAGTGTGGCTGTATTGGCAGCTGCACTGTCTTCCTTTGGCTTCCTCCCTCCCTAGATGCGAGCGCAGCCGGCAGGGCAGCTGGGGTGGAGGCATGTGTCGGTGTGCTGCTCGACAACGCAGGCGTATTCCAGCACTTCTCATCGCCAACTCTCCTACTACCTCCTTCTCTTCCCGCCGGCGTGGAGGCGACCTCGGAATTTCCGCCAGCAGCAGCGTCACGTTTTTCTTGCAGGTGAAGCGGAGGACTCAAAGACCCTGCATGCGCCTCTGCGCCCGGCGGTTGTGCGGATGGCTCTGAAAGCGAGGGCGGTCGACTTCCCAGCACGCGCCCCCGACGGCTTTCATTGAGGTACGGCGGTGACACCTGCACCCGCAACGTTTTCCCCTTCGTGCTCTTGCCGTCCACAAAAAGCGCTTTTTTGGCGTCATCAGGGGTCGCAAAGGTCACGAAGACGCGTCGTCGCCGCGCGGGTGAGTTGTCCTCCACCACTGAGGAGGTCGTGATGGTGAGACCTTTAAACAGCGGCAGCGTCTCCTCCAGTGAGGCAGAGTCGTAGAGGTTTGAAACCACGACACAATTTTTCCACTTCGGGAAGCGTTCCCAGAATTTTTCAATTTCCCCCCAGTGCTGATCCCGCAGCTTTTTCAAGGCAGAATCCTCCACAGAAGGCACCGACGTGAGTGGGGCGACTGGGCGAAGCATAAATGGCAGTATCTCCCCTTCATCGTCGGAGTCCTCATCCTCGTACTTTTCAAACAGATCACACGCGTCCTGAACCGAGGGCATCACTACAACCCCGCCCGCAAGTTTGTCATCCACGTCTTCAAAGCGTATGTCGAATGTACTCCAACCACTAAACTCCTCAAATTCACGAAGTGCCTCCTCCAAACTAAAACCCTTGTGAAAGTTGATCTTCACGAGATGGCTATGGGTGGCCATAGAGAGACCATGGTCTATCGTCAAGTAAAACCCAGTGCCATGCACATCGACAAGTGAAGCATCTGTATTGTACTCACTGTAATCAATAAAGGATGCCACGAAGTCGTGTAACGATGCCCCACAACGCCTTGGAGCTGTTACAGGTTTCACCCCGAGGCAACCCAGCAACTCCTCCGCATGCAATGCCCCGGGTAAGTAATCAATGTAGCGTAACGGCGGTATCACGGCCGTCCCGGAGAGAAGTGAGTGATCCTCATGGTGTGTGCAGACAAGTCCGAAGCGCTCCGCGCAAAGTTCGAGGAGTTTCTGAAAGTTGTTTCCCAGAGTAGGAAAGCGGATCGTACACGCTCGGCGCTTGCCCACTTCTGTCACACACATCAAAACATCATACTCCACGCCGAGGAGGAAACGCAGAGAGGAAGGGAGGCTGAGGGCCTTGAGCTCCGAAGAACTCAACCCCAAAAATTTTCCCATCTTGCGTTGAATGGCCAAAAGGAAAGATTTACGCCGGCAACACTCACAACAGCAATAACAAGAATCCCCGCTCAAATATCACCGATGCGCAGGCAGCTGCAAGGAATAAACAGCAGCAACAACAACGGCAGCAGCCAAAGATTGGAAAGCAGCTTGCCCACGGAATGGAGCGGAAGCCAGACGAAAACCTAAAAAAAAAGGAATAACGCAATTAAACGGTATATCCCAACTCGTTTGCGTAAACTACAAGCACACAGTGGGACCGCAGCGGTCGGTGCACTGAATAAAGTTGTACTTGCCAATTAATAATATGCAGCACTCTGTCCAGAGACGCTCTCCACCTCTGGTTCTTGGTCCGTCCCTTTCTCGACACTTGCAAGCAAGAAGTGCAGGAACCGCGGCCGGTAGTCGGACGGGAAATGTAGCGCAATGAGGCCGGTAGGGGAAAAAAAGAAGGCAGGGGGACAAAAAAAAACACACACACAACGAAACAGAAAAAAAACAACAACAACTGAAGCTATATATATATATATTTAAAGAAATAAAATGTGCTTGTATTTGCGTATGTGGGGCGGAAATAGATGACCAAACAAATGAAATTCAATGTCTACTTTTCACTTGTTACCTCGTGCGCCTCTCTCAGCTGAGTGTTGATGACGTCAGTGATTGTATTTATTCTTCCACTGACTATTCGGTGATGCTTGCCTTGTTTACTTATTCACTTTTTTTTTCGTGGGCTCCGTCCCTAATGAATCCCACCCAGACTTTTCAGAACCCCTCAAATGCCCCTCTCCCTTCGCTTGTTCCACTTGTCCGTCAGTAATTGCGCGTAAATGTGTGTGATGTATGTGTGTTATTTTGCCACTTCTTGACGAAAATCCTCTCCTAATCCCCAGATAAGTATTATTTCCTTTATATGTGCACAGAGATGAAATAAACTAATAAGTGAATTATTTTAATATATGTATGTATGTATGTATGACCTTCCAAGCTTTTCGTTCAAAGGTTTTGATTCGCTTGTTCCCTACTGTGCAGCGGAGTGCATGGGGGACGGGTGCATGTCGTCAGCGAAGACCGCGGAAGAAGTAAGAAGAGAGAATAATATTTTTTAAAAAAAATCAGAGAAAAGGAAATGGAAAATGCGTCACAGTGACGGGGGGCGCAAGAAACACATCGGTTGGAATGCACACACTCAGAGAGGAATAGGGAGAGCGGAAAAAAATATATATATCTACAACTATGTCCACACACCAACAGATGTATATATATATATATACACACACCGAGGTCACGAAACAGAGAAAATACAGTCATGCGTCTGCTTGTTTCCTCTCCTCGTCGTCCGTGCATTTTCTTTTTTCCTTTGGGAGGGTCAGGCGGGTGCCTCTTGCTTTCGTTGTTCTCACTTCGTTCCCACAGCATACATTCCCCCACACAGCGCCAGGCGCACAGTTACTTATTTTCCTTCTCTTCGAATTTCGCGCGCGGTTCCTCCTGCCCGTTGCTGCCCGCGCCGCAACAACACCAGGGAGACACACTCCCGCACACAAGGGAAGGACGGCGAGCCGCGGCGCCACGTAACGCGTGAAGCAAAGAAGGAAATCAAAAAAAAAGAATGGGAAAAGTAGCGGGCAACAGACGACGGCAGGAGGCGGCAAGACGCCAACTCACAAGCAAACTCCAGCAGGAGGGGGGGGGGGGAGGGGGGGGAACACGAACGG